ACTCACACTCACACACACACACACACGCACACACACACACACACGCACACATTTAACACACACACACACGCTCGCACGCACACACACTCACACACACACACGCACGCTCGCACACACACACACACACACACGCACACATTCAAACATAACACCGACTCACACACAAATACACTGTATAATAATATGTATTCAAACAAAGCGAGTGTCTTTGAGAACAAAAAAAAAAAGAACCCGTATAAAGGGGAATAACTCGTTCATCTTTACATCAATTTTAATAAAACCCAAAGCAAATATAATTTTGCCGAGGTGAAGGCAGATCCGACAATATCATGAAGAAAAGCCATCGATGTGTTCGAAAAATGTCAAGTTTTTTTTTGTTTTTTTTTGTTAAAAAAAAATAAAATCCACCAAAAGTAAGTAAAACTCGTGTTACTTGTTGAGAACACCAATGCACACCTTGTCTGTCCCGGTTGGATTATGCGATTGTGCGGCCGCGTTTTTTCGCGTAATTCTGCAACATTTGCCTAATTTTGGATTCCCCTCTTTTTTACACGTTGTTTTTCCCTTTTTTTTTCACAAAACAATTAATTAACGCCTCGCCATATAACTAAAGGGAAGTGATCGCCGTAATAAGTCTAATTTAAGTGTCAAGTTGGCTATTTCCCCTGTTGGAAGATCTTGGTATGGGTTTGGATTTTGTTCCTTGAGCATGTTCAATTTTTCAATCCATCAAAAGTTGTTGTTCTCATGTCTGCTGATATTTCATGTTTGACAGGTGGTTTGGTTCAAGAAGTTGTAAACTTTTGCGTTTTACTCAGTTTTTGTTCAAATCAAACACAACAAAATCAAAAACAAAAACCACCACCCCAAAACCCCACAACGAAACAAATTAGAAAAAAAAACCCCTTCATAATTCTCTAGCATGTAAGTCTTTCTTTTCCATTCTGACAAATATAACGTTGTCTCGGGTGAATTTGCCTAGAGCCCGAAACTGGTAGTGAGCGCTGCAGAAATCTACAAATTGCATTATTATTATTATTATTATTATTATTATTATCTTCATCATCATTGTATCATCATCATCATCATCATCATCATCATCATCATCATCATCATCATCATCATCATCTTCAGCATCATTATTATTATTATTTTTACAACTATTGCATAATATTATATTGCTTTCGCTTTTATTATTATTAATATTAAAGTGTTGTCAGTCTTATCATCATCATTATTATTATCATTGTTATTATTAGTAGTATAATACTTCCCGGAGACCCATACAATGGGACGCCTAAACACAGTGTGTTTGAAAAGAGTTTGAGTCCAATAAGAATAATTCCAACTGAATCACCACCACAGCACCGTCTGAACTTTGGGTTTATAGCAGCACGCACTACAGCCTTAAAAGTCCCCAAAGCTTTCACTTTCACCGCGCATGTATGTACGTCCACTCGTGAGAAACGATATATAGATATCTACCTTGTCTAACGCCTATGCCACAACCTTCACAATACTTAGGTACCATATGCCGTATGCCCAGTCCTAAAACGGCATAGATCTACCTAGTTTAAAATGTCAAAACCTTCACCGTGTACATGATGTACGTCCACTACTAAAACCGTATTGGTCTATCTAGTCTAACGCCAATGCCAAAACCTTCACCACACAATATAGTACCGTATGTACCTTCACTCCTGACACGGTATAGATCCACCTAGTGTTACTCCAATGCCAAAGCCTTCTCCCTTTCCGTCCACTCCTGAAACGTACGTCATAGACCCACCTAGTGTAACTCTCTCTCTCTAACTAATGCCTCTAATCTAACTCTCCCGGCTCTTGGTTCTTTGGGGCTTTTTTTTTGGTTTCCTTTTCGTTTCTTTCTCTTCTCTCAGCTGGTACATTTCGATTACTGCTCACGTGACGCGATGGGCGTTGTCATGGGGACAGTTTATCTCTTGGTACTTATCAGTTGTGCATGGTCACCGCCCACTTTGTATGTGTGCGCGCGTGTGTATGCGGGGTCGTCTCGGCCTTAGGCAAAGGGGTGATGTTGTAAGTAAACGCTAATGTAATTTTCTATTATGCGTGGAAACTCAGAGGTACGCTCCGTTTGCCCTGTTGGTATCATCATGTTTGTCCCCGGTTCAAATTCCAGACTGCTTGTATCATGCTGGTCTACGGAGCAGTTGGCCCTGGTTCGAGTCTCAGAATATTAGTAGTTGTATTGTGCTGGACTATGGAGCAGATATTCCTTGTACGAATCCCAGACTGGGCATTCTTGAACCCTTGTCTTTTTGTGGAGGTCTCGAGGCCCTAAACCTATTTGGGTCGGTCCTGTCGGGGGTGAACATTAAATGTGAAGGTCCAGCCTCTTAAATAACATAGAAGTGTTGATAGGGAGAGTGAGGATGGAGGGGGACAGAGAGAGGGAGAGAGAGGGAGAGGGAGAGAGAGAGAGAGAGAGAGAGAGAGAGTGAGAGAGAGAGAGAGAGAG